GAACGGAAATACCTGGAGAGTTTTGAAATGTGGTGTTGGAGAAGAATAGAGAAGATCAGGTGGACGGATCGAGTGACCAACGAAGAAGTATTGAGGAGAGTCAACGAGCAAAGAAGCATTCTGCAGGCGATTACACGAAGGAAAGCTAACTGACTGGGACATATTATGAGAAGGAATGGATTAATGAGTGATATCACCGAAGGCCAGGTTGAAGGAAAGAGAGGACTAGGAAGAAGATTGATACAGCTAACCGACGACCTTAAACAAGGAAAGAAGATGACGTTCCAGGAATTAAAGCTAAAAGCCGAGAATAGGGACAACCGGAGAGCTCTTTTCAGGCAGAGCAATGGACCTGTCGTAAGACAGAACACTTAATAATAATAATAATACGGTAAGGTTGTACTGAGAAAGTCCAAAATAACATGCAGCATTATAAATTACCTCACCTCTAAATTTGGTATAATAATGTGAGTTACCATGGGGACACCCACGAACCCAGTCAAACCCATTAAAGTCACCAAATAGACTACGCGGAAATTTTGAGTGTTAAGCTTAGCTTCCAAAGAACTACAGTAATTTTCAATAATTTTGATATCCATATTGGGCGGAAAATAATGTTTACCAACAAGTAAATTAAAACCATCGGGAATAGAAATTTCTATCTAAACACATTGATACGTAAGTTCAAGTTCGTACCTACGTTTACAACCAGAAAAATAACGGCGAACTGCAATTAAAACACCACCACCACCAGTTAAATTTGAATCCGCGTAAGCTCTGTGTGAACGGAAAACAAAATAATTATCGAGAAACAGATTGCGATTACAATAAGAATTGTTAAGCCATGTCTCAGTAAGTCATATAATTTTGGAGACAAACATTGCCGAAAAGACTGGTACTTTTAGTACGCAAACCCCTGGCATTTTGATAAAAAAATTCCAAAAGTATCGGTGCACCTGTCAAAGGACATGGCAAACGATGCGGATTGTCTAAAAGTCAAGATCTATTAGCGCTTGCACCATGCGACTCACAAATACTGACGTCACTCGCCAAAATATTGCTGTTGGACGTTGAAGCAGTTGGAGGTACTGTTATCTCTGAAGAGATAGGTGTACTGGAGGAGAACACTTGTTCTGCAGTAAGTCTGCCTAAAACGTAGCAATAAGTCATACATTAGGCCATACTTCAGTATAGTTAATGAGAGGAAATTCATCTTCATTAACAGATACATGAAAGGATGCACATGCATTAAATTTAGTTTTCAGTCTGGTACAAACCAATCTTTTAAGACTTAACTGATCCTTTAAAGATTTCTCAATACCAACAGCCGAAACGTCAGGAATGAAGCGAGAACCAACAGGGAGAGAAGAAGAAGTTCTCACACCAATCAGAGGCTGGCGCCGTTGGTTCACAGTATTGATCAAAGGGAGTTCCAGAAGCAAGCTTCTTTTTGTAACTGTGGCGAAATCATTAGAATCAGCAGCGTAAACCTTTGATTTCATACCAGTAGAAAGTGCTTCTCTATAGATTTTGGTTCCTGAGTCAGCAGATGCCGAGGCAGGACAAACTTCTTGTTACTTAATACTTGGACAGACCATTGCAGTATTTCATCTTCAGGAGGTCGGACCACTATTAATCGAATTTATGCAAAAGTAGTCATAAGTGAGGCGATGTAAACTGTCACAGTTGACCTCGGGTACCGAACCGGCCAATTAGAGAAACGTTATTCTCACTTAAATTTAAATTATTCCACCAACCACGAAACAAAGCGGGAAGAAAACCAATGATGGTACAACATTCAGGTTTCGGAATGAGTGGGAAAAATTAATACATTTTGAGAGACGAACTTCTTTTAGAGTCAGTTGTTGCAAGTTCGTACTCAAGTTTAAACGTTGCAAATTCTTAGTTGAAAACTTATTTAGTAGTCAGTTTCGTCGTCAAGTAGTCACGTCAATTCAGAATTGGCTATCGCGGACGCATATGTCTATTAAATTAACTATGTTCACACACAATAGTGCACTATCTATCAGTATCGTATGGAGGAGTGAATACACAACAATCACCTGCAAATAAATACCTAAAGTGACACAGCTGAGGCGACCCTTAATTAAAACCAATAATCACGTGATAAGAGTCTCATGGATCGTCCTATCCAACGAGATTTCTTCATCGTACTCGATCCCACCTTGGCAACACGCTGCTAAGAGGAGACCGTTACAAATCGTCGCAAACCTGTAGTGATTCTTATAGTTTAAAAGCTGTGTTATGTATGAATTCCAATATTCATCCAGGAAATATAGACCACATTATTGGCAATAGTTGGCAACAGCAAGATTTCAACATGCACCAGGCTTACCACCAGCAGAAAATACCAGTGCAGCGAAAGAAACATTGTCAACAGAAGAGGAGAGGAAAGGAAAGGAAAACATGGCAAACAAACACCAAAGTGTCATCTTGCTGTTGTGCGGAATCAGAGAGTCCCTAGACCGCCAAACACATTCATGGTTTTCTCAAACGAATGGAAACCAACAAAAAGATCAGTATGAGGTAAGACGGTAGATACACAAGACCATGACCCCTTATACAGCTAAACTGATTCGATCTGACCCAGTTTTCTGAAGGTCGAGGGGCCGAGCTACCCTCATATAGTAGCGACCAGACATCCCAGACCGGAAAGAACGAAGCAATAGGTATAGAATGGGAGGAAGAAAGCGACTGTGAGCAGCTAGACGGGCATCAGCCCACGTTAAATGAGACAGGTCTAGAAGTCTTAGCTCCGAGTACATCAAGTAATGTAAGGAAATCGTCGCAGGACCCATTGCTGACAATATTACAGTTGCTACAGGCAAACAAACAAGAAAACGTTAAGTTAGCAGAACAACTGACACCCACTATTCGGGAAGTTAAGCAAGATTTTAGGAACGCCACGCAGAAATTATCTGATAAATTTGAAGGTAAAATGCAGAAGGATAGCAAAGATCTAAACAACAGAAGTGGCAAATTGGAGAAAACAGTGGCGAATAAGACTAAGAAGTTATCAGAGGATATTGTCACAGTGCAACACGATTTAAACGGGAGCGTAGAGAATGTTCCACAGGAGGTGAACCAGTTTAGACAAGAGGTTACTGAAGAAAGACATTCATTGAAGGAAAATACAGGTGAAAAAATGAACAGGCTTAACAGTAGGTTAGAAGGACTAGAGAGAGCCACTGAGAATAAAGTAGCAAATTTAAATGTCCAGGTAAACGAACTCCAAACACAGCTATCCGAAGTTAGAGAGGGGAGAGGCAGATCAGCTGAGCAAGGTAGTGGGTCAGTCAATTGCCATTGTTCCCACCAGCAAATGACTCCAGGTTACAACCCTCCAGCATCCAACGAAGCGGTGGATAATTCAAGCTTAAGGCATGAAAACCAAAGAAGTATCGAGGAACTGCATGTAGCATGTGAATCGAGTGTGCCTTGTGTGAATGCATCCTATGTACGTGAGTCAGCCTGCTCGAACATAAATTTTGGCACATCACCTGCCATTTCGGATCATGCCAGTACTGTTGGGTACCTGGCAGATCTTCATCCTTGCTTTTGGGCAATACTCTGGTTTATCTATTTCTCCAATTATTTCTTTCTTTATGCACCATCACTCATTCATTTATTTCAGAACTATCACACACATATTACTAAATGTCTGTCTCAGGAATTATAAATGTCAAGTTTGAATTCTTATCTGGAACAAGTCTTCTTCATTCTCATGAATAATGACTATCTACTGGTTGCACTTTAACTTTCACTAAAGTCGCACTGTACGCTGTCGTTGGTACAAGCACAGTTCTAAAGTAAAAGAAGAAACCACAGAATTTATTTATAATTACTGATAATTCCGTAATGTACAACTGTACTCCAAAGAATGGTGCTGATTTGAAGATGCATAGACTAATCACATAATTTTTTCAAATGTATTTATCGAATAACAAAATACTACGCACTTAAATGCACAAGACTTTCACTGAGAATAACAGTCACTTTTATTCGATGAGATGTACTGACGTAAAGGTTGAAACAAAATTTCCATGATTGGCGACATATGACCAATCACATGTCAGGACGTGGGCAGCTGAACTGAAGCTGGGAGAATTCGGAGCTACCAACTGCTCAACTTTCTCACCCTGCGCAAATATTACTGAATTACAAATTTAGCCATCGTCCGGTATACTGAAAAAACCCCACAACGATTCATATAAATTCATATAAATGTTTGGTGTAGATACCTCATAACACTGTTGAAACAGGTCTAAATATGTGAAAGACTATAAGCAGGTGTGTTAACCATTCTATCATCTTCGGACGTTCGTGATTTTATTTTCTAAGATGTGGCACACTGACGCTGGAAACTTAAACAATTGAGAACGAAAGTTTGGTACGTTAACGTCATGTCATTACATTTTAATCTGAGCTAGAAATCAGTTGTTAGTTGTGTCTTCATATTGTTTAAGATCCACAGTTCCAATTTTCCATATTATTATGCCGTCACGGGACTATGGAAGTAAAATCGCCAGGAGTTTGCAGTATGCTATTATGGTAAGTAAAATTTTGCCCTCCACTGCATTTTCGTTTTAATGAGACCCGGTATAACGTAGTCCTTTTTAAATTGGTGATTTGTTGCATCTTTTTTAAAGATTTATTAAAAGCATATGCAAGGATTTCGTACAGCAGTTGGCCATATTCACTTTCTTTACCTTAAGAAATGGTTCTCGTTAAGTATGAATTTGAATTAAACACTTTTTCCTGTGCTTGTAATAT